GGGGCGCTAGAGCGCGGGGCTCGCCGTCAGAACAGCCGCCCGACTCCTCTTCCTCAGCTGCGTCCGCCTCGGTTTCCTCCGAGGGAGGCTCGGGGCCGTGAGGGAGCATGTCCCGGGGGACTCGGGGCCCGGAGCGGGCAAGGAGCTCGCCCCCACCGCTGCTGCCGCCGCCGCCGCCCACCACGTCTATGTCCGCGTCCGCCTCGGATAGCGCAGCCGGAGAGCTCTCGGAGGACATGATCTCGCAGCAGCAGCTGCCCAGGGTCATGGTGCCGCCGCCGCCACCGCCGTGCTCCGGCTCCGCTCCGGCCGCGGCTCCGGCTCCGCTGCGCNCAGACCCGCCAGTCCTCCGTCCCCTTGAGCCGCTGCCTTCAGTGCGCTTAGCCCTTGGATATTAAGGTCCACTCGGGCGCCAGCCAGAGCCAGAAGAAGTAGCGACAGCCCCCAACTATCATCTCTCCCTACGGCAGAGCCGGGACCACCGAGGGCGAAGCGCAGCTGGAGCGCGATCCGGAGGCTGAGACGCCAGGACGGACGCCGCGGGAGCGGGCCCGCCGGAGCCCGAGCGGCTTCCGGCCCGAGGGAAGACGCACTCGAGCCATCGCGGGGAGTAAACTTGGAGCTCTCAGCCTCGGATCTCGGAGAGGTGAGAGATTACGACTGCTCACCCTCTCTCTCCCACAAGGCNCCGACACCCCGCTTGCCGCGCCGCTGGACTCCGGACGCGGGAGTGTACGCGGGTCCCGGGGAGTGTGCCGGCGGCCTGTCGCTCCCTCCTCTAAGCTGCTGCGCGGCGCGCGCATTCCAGGAGCGCGGTCCGGGCCTTCGCTCCGAGTTTGCCTGTACTCCGACCTTTTCTGTCTCAGTATCCATTAGTCTCGGACTCTGTGATTCTGTGTCTTTCTCGTCCTTGTCTCCGTTTCCTGTGGAAACCCTGCATTTGCCTGGATGTCTGTTTGTGGGTCTGGAAATCCCTCGCTCAGTTTCCCTCTTTCTCCCAACCCCAGTCGCACTGAATAGCTGCCCCCCCCCACCCAACTTTCTGGCTGGACTTATAGGTTTTACAGACAGGCAGCAGGACTCCCACGGAGACCTTCCTCAGTGAACCCTGACCACAGCCCTGGGCCAGCGTTGCTTTCATCTCAGAATCCTGTGCACACAGGTTGGTTCTGTGCCCTTTTTCTCGCCAGCTGGGCTCCTGTCCACCTCAGTAGGCCTGTCTCTCCCCCTGGTCTCCCTCCAGGAACCCCGCAAAGAGTAGCACCAGCTCAGATTGCGCCCATATCAACCTCCGAGGGGTGAAAGAGGAGATGGGCACTGGAGGTGAGCAAGAACTGAGCGTACCGACAGGCTGCTGCCGCGACAGCGCCGCGCAGTGGCCAAAGCTCGGACTCTCGAGCCCTGAAATCCAGCTGAGCTCCACAGTCGTGGTATATGACAGTCAGCAGGTCACTTCCCCTTCCCAGCCTCAGTTTCCCTTCTTTGTATAGTAATTAAGAACAGGAAGCCTGGAGTCAGGTTTCTGGAGTCCCAATCCTGTACTTACCAGCTCTGTCATTTTGTGTGTTTCATAACTTTGTGCCTCTGTTTCTTCCTCTGTAAAAATGAGATTAAAAACACCTTGGTAGTGACTAATATGCAAAAATAACCAAATTATTCTGGGCTACTTTTGAGGAGGGTGTTGAAGATTCTTGGGGAGAAAGAAGGGAGTTGGAAATGGTGTAGTCCCCCACTTCATCTCAAGCCCCTGGTCCAGCCACCTGACCACTGCCATCTCCAGTCACTGTGCTGAATCAGGTGCCTTGTAGATAAGCACTGAGAAGAGAGTGGGAGGGAATTTGCAGCCCCTGCAGGCTATATCTCAGCAGAGCCCATGTGAGGGTGGATGAATTCTCCCTTTCATCTAACAGCAGCCTCCAGTAAATGGAATAATCTAGTGTAAATCTAACTTTTGAATTCCACAGGTAGGGCAACAGAGGCCCCAGTGGGGACAGGACTCCCCTAGGCTTCTCCAATGGGACAGACTAGGGTGGGGTGCAACTCTTGTCACAGAATCTTCATGATTGAGTTCTTAGTCCTCCTGAGCCAAAAGAGGGTGGAAGGCAGGTCTGGCTGCTCATATCCTGTGAGAGCAACTCCTCTGGACTCCTCTATAGGACCTCAGACAAAGGGGATCCACCTAGTGTGCTAGGCCTGCATAAATACTGTTCTTGGGGAAAAGAGAAGAGGTCCAGTCCTTAAGCCATGGGCAGGAAATTTCACAGGGAATAGTGGCCTTGGAATCAGGAATTCCTAGGTGATAGGCCTTTGAGGGGGGGAGGCTTAGGAGAGAAGTTTCTTCCATGAGTCCAGAACTCACATACCTAGGGTTGCTAGATTTAGCAAATTAATTCTCTCTGGCAACCCTACACATACTCCCAGCTTACTTGATCTCTCTCACTTCACACTGTACACCGTCTACCCCATACCAGCTCCAGCCCGGCTCAGCTAATATCTAAGTAAATGGAGAGAAGAAAAAGACTAGCACCATCCTATTTCATCTCACCTTCTATATATCTTCATTTCTGAAATGCCAAATGTAAATAAGTAGCTTCCTTCCTTGCCAGAGCACTCCTGGTCCCCCAGGCTCTGGCCCCCTACCCAGCTTCAGGAAAGGCTGGCTGAGGCATTTGCTGCCCAGATATCCTGGTTCTAATGCTTCAGGCAGAGTTCTACAGAGCAGCTGCAGCTGCTGGCCCCTGCCTCAGCCTGGCCCTGTTCCTCAAGACTGCTGCTGAGACTCAGACTGGGAAAGGGAGTGCAGGCCCCTGCCCCCACCCCAGCTCGTGTTCTGCAAAGTGGGAGTAGTACCTGATTTTAGGGAATCACCCAGACCCTTTCTCCTACTTTTGTGACTTGCCAGGCTTTTGAAGGCCCTCCTCCCACCCCAGTTGGTTTGGACCCAGGTGTCTGGACTCCCAGCCCAGACGTGATATGTTTATCCAAATGATTGCTTAGCCCCTGACCAGGCTCCTCTCTTGCCTGAGGAAGGGGTTTCTGGGAGCTTCTCAGCCCTCCCGAGGGCCTATTTGCTTGAAACTGGGGGCTGGGAGAAGGGCAACGGGGGACTCGAGATTCCTTTCGTTTCTGCCCTTCTCCCTCGGCTCCAGCCTTTCCCGCCTCTGCGACCCTGTGTGAGTGTCACTCTCCACCTCGAAAACCTGGCACTTTTCCAGAAGCTTGGGCTCCAGCACCCATGCCTGCAGCCCCCAAGAAGCAGGAGGCGACAGGCTCTGCGGGCCTTGGTCACAACACGTGGTACCCAGCGTCTGTCTTCTTCTGTCTGCCTCACTATTTAGCCGCCTTCTCTTGAGCCACCCAGAAACGATTGGGAGGAAGCGTGGGGGAGGGGNACGATTGGGAGGAAGCATGGGGGAGGGGGGATGTCCTTTCGGAAGTTTCCTACTCCAAAATGTTCGGACAACCCAGAGAAGTTGTTGCGTGTTTATGGAGATGTGTTGCTCTCAGTGGCGCCTCTCCCCGCGCGGCTCCTGCCTTCCCTTCCTGAGGTCCACGCAAACACGCTCTTCGAGCTGGGGCGGGGGGCGGGGGGGGCGAGAGCTTTCAAATGATTATGGGCATATAACTAAGTAAAGCGAAACTGGCGAGGAGTGGCGCTGAGCTCGTTAGAGGCGGGTGGCTGCTCCCACCCGTTGCCCGCAGTCTTCCCGGGGTCCGCCCCTCCGTGTGGCCCGTGGGCACAGCGCGGCCTGCGCGGGACCAGGGCGCACACCGCCCGCACGCTTCTCTCATTTTATTCATAAACCAGACGAGCCTTGGGGAAAGTGGCAGGACTCACGCTGCCGCCGCTCTCTTCCCGCCCCTCCTTAGGCGGTGGGGCGCCCTGCACACAGGAGCGGGACCCCGGATCAGTTCAGGGAGCCGCGCGGGCACAACACTAACGGGCCCTCCAGCGTATGCACCTTCACCGCCAAAGCCCACCTGCCCGCTCCCAGGCGCCGGCTCAGGGGTCGGGCACTTCTCAGGCACCTCACACACACACACCTGTGTACCCTGCACTCCTAGAAAGAAATATCTGTCCTTCCATTATGCAGGACCACAGCCCTACCTACCCGGCGACTACGTGGTGGGTGAGGGTGAGGGTTAGGGCTAGGGCTAGGGCTAGGGCTCGCTTGAGCATCCTACCCNGGTGAGGGTAAGGGTGAGGGTGAGGGTGAGGGTTAGGGCTAGGGCTAGGGCTAGGGCTAGGGCTAGGGCTCGCTTGAGCATCCTACCCCCCGAGGACAGCACGGCGGTTGAGACCAGGGTGAGCTGCGAGGCCTATCGACTCTCGTTCGTGGGAAGAGGGCTGCAAGCTCAGGAGATGGTGAAAACAGCGCGGCTCCCAATCCGCCCGACCTGGGGGCCCGCTTCGAGCGACCACAGTAGGGCAGGTTCCACATGCTTGAGAGACCTGCAAGGGAGGCGGGGACGCTTCCAGGTGTCGGAGCTGGAGCCTCAGGTCTAGTGCCCCTGATGTCAAAGTGCATCGGGGTTTCCGGATCAGAGAGTCTATTTCTCTGCCCACGGGTGTGTTGTTGGTGTGCCCCTCGGGGCAGCAGTGGCTCTAAGTGCCCGAGTACTTCCCTGAGCACCCGGCGCCTGCCTGAGTCCGTCCGTCCGTGTTTCCCCCCACCCCACCCCACCCCCCGAACGCACGTTCTGTGCCTGGGACTGCCCTGGAGAGCTTCCCTTTAACCCCAGGGCTTGAAGCGACGTGACCCGGTTGGGGGACTGCAAACCCGCTCCGAGCCCGCAGCGAGACACCCGCAGGGAAGGACCCGTGAGGGTACAATCCTGGGCAGGTGGTTGGGCCGATGACAGAGGCAGGGGCGAGCGCACGGGGACTGCGCCGCGGACAGCCAGGCCGACTGCAGCGGCGGCCTCCTTCCGACCAAATTACACGCTGCCTATTGGAGCAGCAAACCTCGGCAACCAAGTCCTTCTGGACCCCTGAATAGGAGCAGGGCAGGAGGGAGAAGGGTACAGAGCTGGCCGAACTTGGCTCCTTATGCAACAAGCGCAAGCGTGCGCTTAGCCTTTCCGATCCCTAAGCAGAGGTGGAACCCATGAGGCTCGTCTGGCCCGGTGCCCGAGGCCTGTGGAGCCGATGCCAAGACCCACCGAGTGGAGCGAGGGACCAGCGGGAGCCCTGGCCTGGCCTGGCCTCGCGGATGCCGATCACGTATTCCTGGGGAGCAGCGCCCTCTGGAGGAGCCGCGCATCCACGCAGTCGGGATCCGGACGACGAGGTCTGGGACCAGGCTCCCCCGCCCCACCCCACACCTTTGGCAAAATCATCCAGACACCCATAACTTCCTGAGCCTTCTTTGCGCATGCTTGTTTCCTTTCCCAACCTGTACCTATGCTTCAAAACCCTGCTCAAATCCCGCCTCCTCCGAAGGAAGCCTTCTCCAGAGCCCAACTCATCTTCCCCTGTTCCTGCTCTGAGCTCCTCAGAGCCTAAAGCCTGAACCCTTGACTCCAACGCTCGCACCCGGCACTGCACGGCGGAACTGCTTCCAGCCTTGCCTTTCTCCAGACTGTCGGTCCATCCGCTCCACTCACCCTTTGCATTGCATGCTGGGTATGCTGTTTTTCTTTCCTTCCCCACTCCCAATAAAATAAGACTGAAGTCATTTATCTTAAAATTGGACTGTAGGTTTTCAAAAATTGTTTCCCATTTGGGGAAATTGAGACCCAGAGAGTGGGCTGACTTGTCCAAGGTCATACAGCAAGTTGGTAGCAGAGGTGGAACTAGATCTCTAGTCACCTTTTCCCCAGACCACACCTCTCCCAAGTCACCTGGATGGGAAGTAGGTGATGTTGGGGAGAGCTCATTATTTGAAAATATATCCTATTGATTTCAGGGAGAGGGAGAGACAGAAACACCAATGATGAGTCACCAACGGGCTGCCTCCTGCACACCCCCGGCTGGGGATGGAGCGGGAAATTCAACCTGGATCTCCTGGACCATAGGTCCACTCAAGGGCCGGAGCCAGGCAGTCGCAGCGGGAGGGGCCGGAGGGGCAGGGGCTCATTTTAAGGGGACTGGTTGGAGGAATTTTGACATAGGAGAGGGGAAATGCAGGAGGATAGTTCAGAGGTGGGGATCACTGCTCCAGGACAGGGCGGTAAGGAAGGAAGAGAGACCAAAGCTTCACTGGGAGGCCAGGCTCTTCCTTCCTCCACCCCCAGCCCCAGATCAAGCTACTTTGAAGGGCTCCAAATTTCAGGGGTTGGCCGCGAATGTCTTACATCAACAGGCAGGTCAGCTGGAGACTGGAAACTGTGTCAATTCAGGCAAATACCAGCCTCCCTTCTGCCCTGGGAAGGGAGGGAGGGGCTGAGAAATTTCTGTTGCTAACACACACCAGGAGGGTGCTGCTGAGACCTTAGATCCACTGTAGGAGTCCTTCTGGTGCTCGAAATTATAGAGTTAAGGGAGAAGCTACAAGGGTGATTTGCATGTAATTTCCATGAGGCCCCGAGGCCTTCTCAGAAATGCTGCTGCCACTTGGAGGTGAGCCTGGCCCTGGCCTGCAGGTCCAGCCTCACCTCTAAGCCCTGCACTCCACTCATACCCAATGTGCTGTTTCTCCCCAGTTCACCTCTGAACTCCGGCTCCCTCTCACTCCCGCCTGGCTCACTCCTAACCCTTCTTCCAGGTCAGACGTTAAGCTCTACGTGCTACTTCCCCCTGCACTACCCCATGCTGGCCAGGCTGTGAGGGCCTCCTGCCTCAGTGCTCCCAAAGACTTAACTCACTCTGTTGTCGTGATTTGTTTTCCAGTTTGTCACCCTCTGTCCACTGTAAGCTCCTTGAAAACAGTCATTATATTGTTTTCGCCCTCATCTTTCCTCTTCTACAAAATGGGGATAAGAAATGTACCTACCACATTGAGTTGTTGTGACGATTAAATGAGATAATAGGTAAAAGTACTTAGCCCTGTGCCTGATACTTTGAAAGAGCTCAATAAATACTTATCATCATTATCATCATTATTAACCACTACCCTTTGCCAGGCAGAAAACCTAACACATAGTAGGTATCAATTAATGGTAGGTATGAGACACATGCATGAATGAATGAATGAATGAATGAATGAATGAATGAATGGTGTGACATATTTTTTCCTTGGGTCTGAGACTCCCCAGAAAGCTAGCTTACATCATCAGCAGAAACAGATGAGTTTCTTCATCTGACCTGTGAGAAGTACATCCCCTGTTCCGGACAGTCTGGCTCCAGAATCAGGGCACTTAACTACTGTGCCCTACCTATGATTCCAAGTAGGGGCAATTGCCATTCACAGCAATAATAATCATCACGTTTCTGTACAGCCTTGCCCTGTCTAGGCTCCTGGTCATCTTAGCCTTGGTCAGCCCCAAATGGCACCATCTGCTACATTAGCTGACATAACAGGTGCAGGCCAATCCAGAGGTTCCCAGGCTACCGAGGGCCTTGTCTGCAGCCATGGAGTTTGGCTCCCCCTTAGTCATGTGCATGCCTCTCGCTGGGGGCTCTGCTTGATCTTCCCTCCTCCACTTCCTCCCACAAAGCTAGGGCCACTCAGGCCACTCAGATCTGGGGGATTAGAGGCAATGAAATGGGAAATCTGAGACCAGAAAGGAACAAATCTTAGAACATGACCCTATGATCAGAAGAAGGGAGTCACATTGGGTCCCCATATGGGGAGAAGGAAAGATGGTAGCATTTGGAAGGAGACCTCGAGGCCTGACAGTGGAGATCTGAAGAGCTAGCTCCCTACACCTGCCACTGATGCTCAGGGCTTAGAAGTAGAAGGGAAAAAGCCATCAACCTGGACAGGGCACAGAACTCACCTAGGATGGAGGTGGCAAGTGCCTGGGCTTCCCACACCCAGAGGCCAAAACACCTGGTGAAGGGCCCTGGTGAGAGACTGATGTGAAGGCCACTGGGGAGGAGGGCAGTGAGGTTTGAAAATTCTGACTATGGTCACCAAGGGTCCCTTTGAGAAATAAAAGAAGACAGCTGCCAAAAGAGCCAATGTGAACACACGGGGAGCTTGGTGTCCTGAAAAGGGCTGCATGGAAGTGCACTTTAGGAATTTTTCCTGCCAATAAACCTACACACATAATATATGTACAAGGTCTCATTGCAGCTGGCTTGGGAATGACAATAGGTTGGAAACAATGTAAATGTCTATCAACAGAGGGCTGGTTAAATAATGGCACGTCTATGTATGGGAATAGTATGCTGGGTAAAATAGAATAAAGAAGTTCTTTATGAATTGATCTGGAAAGAGCTCCAAGGTACATTGTAGAGTGAAAAAAAAATCAAGATATATAACTTTGTAAACATTATGTTTCCAATTGTGTGTATAAGTTCTTAAATGAGAAAATAATGTATATTTGTTTTGGTTTCCATATGCAACAAAAATAGGATGACTAAAAAATTAATAACTGATTATCTGTTGGGGTAAATGGGCAACTTTTTGCTAAATACTTCCTTATGCTTTTAAAGCCAAGTAAATGTATTACCTATTAAGCAATTAAGTAAGTACTATAAAAGAAACAATGCAATCATTCAAATAAATAAGGCTAAGTGAGCAAAGCAAAATTAAAAACATTACTACATGCTAAACACTTCTATGGGCTCCAACCTGAAAATACCACCAGTGGCTATTGTGTTGAGGGCAGGACCGTGAAAGCCTGACCTATTGGACATCTGTGAGCTTTGACTTGCTGCCTTTCAAGGCAGGGAAGAAGGGGAGTCTGCTCGCTACGACCCCAGATTTTCTACCTTGCACTCCTCTTCTGTTCCCATTCCTGTGTCTTTGGCTCCTCTCTTGGTACTACCTAAATTGCTTTGGAAATAGACCTTCTCAGTCTGCCAGGCTGGACAGGGATTAGGGTAGAGAAAAGGGTTTTCATAGGAACTAGAGCAATAGACCCTCTGCACCCTTCCTTCAAAAACCAAACCAGAGCTCACCTCCTCCAGGAAGCCTTCCTCATGAAGCCCATAAAGCCCCCAGCCCCTCCACAACTCAGGAAAACAATCTGATGCTTAAGGTGGGGCCTGTGTCTCTCTCAAGCAGGGTCCAGGCCTCTTGTCTCTGATTCTGCTCTACCCCCTAAATCTCAAATCCAGCCTCCAGACAAGGGGTAGCTCAGGCCAAAGCCTGGCATGCCCAGCCTCAGCCAGGCTGCCCAGTGAGGGCAACAGGGGACAGAGAAGACGCAGGCCCTGTCCCCAGGAAGGCAGGGTAGTATATCCTCACCTACCATCATAGTGGCTTTAGCAGTTACAAAGGCCATTCCACCCAGGCAGAGAGGACAGGGCACATTCTGTTTCAGAGGAGCCTGAGGCAGAGGCCCAAACTGGTGACTAAAGTGACCCAATAGCTCCCTCATCTTGTCAGCGCTCTGCACACTATATTGTCACCCACCGATATTTGACTCCTCTGAGCAGGGGCAGTGTCTGATGCATCTCTGAGTCTCAGCTGGGGAAGAGGCACAATCTAGGAACTTGGAGAGAGTTGTGAATTGCTGTGAAGGACAGAGAGAGGAAAAGCCTTGCCTAAGTTTGACCAGGGACTAGATCTCAGGTTTCCTGACCCCAGCCAAGCATGCTTTCCTCTACTTGCCTCTTAAAGAGTAGAGCTAGGACCACCCACCCCCATTCCCAGCTCCTCTACAGGGAAGGCTACCAAGGGCTTCCAAGAAGATTGAGGGGGAGAAGGGAAGGACCGAAGATCTGGGAGGGCTTCCCAGGGGAGGTGGAAGAGGCATCCAGTTTTCCTCTCCCACACCAAACATTTGGGTTCCCCACCTTTCAGTCACTAGAAGCCACCCCCAGACCCAAAAACCATCCAAAAGGATCCTGGCTTCATTCCACTGGTTTCCAGATCAAATCAGGTGCATACAAGGTGACCAATAGGTGGCGCTTTTGTCTCCACAAAATTGAGGAGAGAGGAAGGGAGAAGAGTCCAGAAGGGGAGGGAGGGGGGAAGCATGGAAGGGGCAGGAAGAGGAAAACTGAAAGGAAAAGGAAACCAAAACCTGTCCCTTGGCTTGGAAAGGTAACTTTCCAGATCCAGACTGTGGGTGTGAGTGGGTGGGGAATATTGAAATAATCTGAGGAATTTTATTGGTGCCTGGAGCTCTCTATCCAAGTTTCTACCTCCCTGGACTCCTCAGAGGAGAATGACTGGAGTCAGGAGGACCTGGATCAAGTTCAGAATCAGTCCTTTTGCAGCTTGACCTGGGTTAGTCACTTAGCCTTTATGAACCCCAATTTCATCATCTGTAAGATGGAGCTAATAATTCTGATGCCACCCTGCATTCCAGGAGTAAACGGCATCTGATCATGCCTCTTTGTAATATACCACCAGATTCAATTTGCTGATATTTCATTGAGGAACTCTGCATCTTCTATGAGAGTGGCTAGATTTTGTTTGTGCAAACCCCTATCCGGTTTTGATAATGTAATTAAGTACACAGAATTGGGATGACTTTTTTTTTTCTGGGTTCTACAACAATTTGTATAACTAGGAAAATCAGTCTCTTGATGATTGGACAGAATTCACGGGTAAAACCAGCCAGCCTAGGTGCTCTTTGGTGGAGGAATGGTCTCTAGATAGTATTTTCTGTTTGCTCTGTACTAATAGGTCTTTTGAGATAGGTTACTCCTTAAATCAGTCAAGTCAGACCAGGGTTTCTACCAGCCAAATGGCCACCCCCAAGCTTTCAGGGTCAGCGACCTGAGGCAATGATTAAACAAGAAAGTTTGTAATCTCCGTGGAAGTAGGAGGATTTTAGCCACTGATGGATTGTCCCCCTACCTTTGGATATCTACTTTTCTCTACCACCTCTGCTACCTTTCCAAGCCACCACCCTTTTGTCCTTGGATCCTGCAGTAGCCTTTTAATCCATGTCTCCGCCCTACCTCAGATCCCCTCTAAGAGCATATTTGGAGCTATGAAATGTCCTCTGAGCACATCCTATGGATTTTAATATGTACTGTTCTCACCTTTATTAATTTATAAATAGTCTGTAATTTCAATTTCTAATTTAAGTTATTTAGATGCTCTTTCCAAGTGCTTAATCCAAGAATGTAGGAACTTATGAACACCTGTGAATGTTGTACATTCATTGCAATAAAAATCTTAAAACGCATTCACATGAGCACATCCTGGATCATTTAGATAGCCTCCCAATACCATAAATACCAGAATACAGATATTTAGAGTCTTCATTTGCATTTGTTATCAAGTAGTGCTGCTTTAATCTTGAGATAAGGCAAAAAACAATGTGGGCTTTACAAGTATCTTCTGTGTTTGGGCCAGTTGTAGGCATGGCTCACTGTCTGAAGGAATGTGGGCAGTTCATTCAAACGAAAAAAAAGTGGTGGGTGAATTTACTTGTCACATGGCCCAAGGCACATCAAACCCAGAACACCTGAGATGAAGCAATCAGGGTCACAGTCAAGGTGCAAGTGATTTGGTTTCAGTAAAATAATATTTTACATTTTATTAATGTTATGAATTTAAATTTTTATTTTGTAGCTGTTTGAATTTAATTTATAAAAATTCTGTTTTATGGTTGCCTAAGAGATACAAGTCTAAGGATTTTATATCTGCCCATACTAAATGACATTATAATTTTTAAAAGTTAAAGTAAATGTTGGAAGTCCACAGACTGTTTTCCTTTTAAAGGGGGACTGTTTAGCCTCCTGTACCTTGCAAAATCATCCCCTGCCCCCACCTCATACTTCCAGGGTCTCCCAAAGAGGTATTTCACAGGGGCTTAAAACCGACCCAGTCACTATGGTGGAGAGTGCTCCATGTTACTTCTTTTCCCTTCTGCCTTCCAGGTGAAGCCCATAGCTCTCAAAATTGCCTGGAGAAATCTCTCTGTTGTTATGCTTCCCGAATCCCTGCCAAGGATGTCACTTTCCTGTG